CCACTACATATATTCAGTGTTTGCGACACTCAGCTCGCTTTCTCCCAGTCGACTTGTCACTTAGGCAATGCGCTCGCTGCGAAAGAAAGCCCGGCCGACCCGGGTAGATGTCTTCATCATGGCCAATCCGCCGCGCAATCCGCGCATGAAATGCCCGCCTCTTGCAAGGGCCTGGCGCCGCGCACGTAGACGCGCCCTAGTACAAGCTGCGTACAGCCGCTCGGTTTCTTTTGTAGCCGACGGTCGGCCAATCAACGGGTGTGGGTTGTGTATAAAGCGTCGGCCGCCGTCGGCTGGCCCTATACCATTGGTGGTTTCGGCACGTCGGTTACTCTATGATTATAGGGCAAAGACGCTGCCTGGTGTGGCGAGCGAAGTCGATAGCCTTCGGTCAATAGCGAGCACATTTAGCACGAGGAGCACGCTGAGAACATTTGACATACCCGATTGACATCGCCCAGTCGCTCGATAATCAAGGTCAATGCCTGCTTGTTATTCCCCATCCGACCCAGCAGGAACACCATCTCTGGGACCATGTCTCGGTCGTTACATACGCGGTACGCCTAGTTGTCTCTGTCAGTATTGGAACAGCCTCGTACAATTCATTGCATTGCCTGTTCAAGACTGTAGTAGTTGCTCGAACGTAAGAAGTTCATGAGTCGGTCAGGTGCATGTTCCGCGCATAGTTTGACCTGTGATGTCCTTGTATCAAAAATAAGACAAATCGAGAGTAGTTTGGACGAACCTGCATGTCTGCAAAGTCAGATGTTAGGTGAGGGTCCTTGTGGAACAAGGCATCCAAGTAGAGGTATAGATAGTCGGGTCGTCCTTGTAACTGCTGGACAACTCGTCCGATCTACGAAGTCAAGAGGATGCGTTAGCACCGTAATCGTGGCGACACTGCTGAACGCCTACGGGTATTGAATGTATATGGTCCACGAGCAATGCAATCGCTCTACTGTCTTCCCGACGCACGTCTTCGCCTTCTCTCCTCTGCTTCTCCATGAGCTCGTGGTCAAACTCAACCAGGAGGAGGGCCTGATCTTGCACCGCAGTGAATAGGTTGTTCTCGCGAATGAGGTCAAAGACGTTCGGCCGTCGCAAGCGCAAGAAGTAGGGAAGGGCCTTGCCAGGCTGTCGATTCATGGTATGCCTGAATACGTGAGCGTCAGAATGGACACCCAGAAGACGCAGTGTCGGCTAACTCACAGCTCGGCGAGACATTCCATGAGAAGCACTGTCTCAGGCGCTGTTGTCTTCATCGCCGATGAGGGAGCACGGTCTAGCTCAGCTTGCACGGCTACTATGACGGCGGGCACATCGTAGATCTCCTTCGGCCAGCTCTTGATCATCCGCAATAGCGCCTATATCCGAGCACAACTATTGAGAACGATCAACTTGGTATGTGTGGGGCAATACGTACGTGACGATCGTGCGCAAGAAAGTACGCAAGAATCATCTCGTATACGAGATGACCTAGTGTGGGCGATTCTGTCGGGACGAATGGAATGATCGCCTGCGAAGCCAAGACATGTCAGCCAGGTAGCGTCGCTGTCCGGTGCATCCAAGACATACCTGGAGTTGGTGCTTCTGCGCAAACAGGAATATCCAGTCCTCCCATCGCTTCAGATCCTGTCCACAGACTTTCGGACAGAGGCGCGCGGCCTTCGCCCAGTTGCCTATGTGCGGTTCGGATCGGTACGGTGTAAGACGCGTTGAGATTTTGACATACCTTGGCTGACCAGATGCTCGATGTACCGCTGACCGACGTGCACGGCGTCCACAGCGTCCTGCCCCGGCGCGGCAGTCACGCCCATTGCAGCCTGCCTCTCAATCACCTCTAGCGCCTCCTCGTATCTCTGTCGCTCTACCAGCCAAGCAACGTGATCCCGCCAATCCCTAGGGCGCACAACGACGATGTCCCTCGGACTGAGCACGACGTAATACCTCTCCGCCAACGTCGCGTCCACCTCTATCAACACATAATCATTGCATCCCCACCGCTCGAAGCCTGCGATCACAAGTGCGTCTGCGGCAAGCTCCTCCCCTCCGCGCGAGACAATACGGAGCTCGGGGCGTTCAGCCGCCTTGCGCATCTGCTCCGCACGGTCGGCTGCGGCCTCGTTGCCCGTGAGGAGCGACGTGCCCGGTGGTGTGTACGCGACGATGAGGAAGGCGGTCAGGCTCGGGGCCGCCGCGGTCTTCTGCACGGCGGAGCCTCCCGAAGTAACACTAGCGGCGTCGCTCGGGATAGGGAACATGCCCGTGCCGGCGGTGGAGGGGGAGTTGCCGAGTGGGTGTGGAACGATGCCCGAGACCATGCAGTCAAGCTGGAAGACGGCGGTGATGTCAACGAGGAACGGGGGCAGGTTGGCGGAGGCGGAGGCGGTGGGTGTGCGCGGCCTGGCGCGGACGCGAGTGACCTTGATCTGGTCGGCCCAGGCGACGAGGAGTGAGGAGTCATCCTGCCAGTGAAGGGTGCATTTGAACAGATCGGCGCGAGAGCTGTCAGGCGGGCGGTCGATGTAGGTGATGCGCGTCTGGGGGACTGTAGTAGATCTTGACACCCCGTTGATGGAACAAAGCAGTTGTGTCCCAATCTCCGGTGATGTCGACGGAGATGACGGCAATGGAGGCGGAATGGGGCTGGAAGGACTTGATGAGCTCGCCGGTAAGGGATAGGATGTGCAGCATGCCGCCGTACGTGCCAAGGGCTTAAGACTAATCAACAACGTACATTGTAGTTGCATACGGAACAGCTTACTATTCGCTGGTTTGCATACGCAATGGCGGAGGCCAAGTCCTTCTGAAGGAGCTGGTGAGTGATGCCCCCAAGTCGCTCGTACTTCAGCGCAGGCTCCTCGTCCTCGTCCTCGTCGTCTTCACTTGGCCATCGTCATCGTTTTCACTCCCAGTCTTGTCGCCGTCTTCTCCAGAGCCCACCAGCTCTCCGTCTGAGTGGGGGCGTGATGATGCAGACCCGCGATGCTATGGCCGTTTCCGTCGGGGTGGGCGTCCTTGCCTTACCGACTGCGCGCTGGTGGGGTCGAGCGGTCGTCGTCACCTGCGTCGCTCATGACCTGGAGGCTGCCAGCGAGCGGTTGCTATTCGTTGTCGAGGCCGTTTCCATTGGGTTCTGAGGACATGGCGGCATGGGTGAAGAGAAGGGGCGAGAGAAGGGATGGAGTGTGCGAATACGCGCTCAGCTGGCCGCGAGACGCGCCCGTAGAACGCGCGGCGATCGAACAGCTTTGCACTCCTCCACCCACTGGCAATACCGCTTTCTTCACGCACTGCTGTCTTTAGCTACTTCTTTGTACTGTTCTCCACGGCGTCTTCAGATAGGCCTCTTCAACTGAGCATGAACTCGCCTCCCGAGCAAGGAGTGGTGCGCACTTCGATGGGGGTCAGATAGTTGCCTGCTAACTTACTGCTATGCAGACTGTGACTGCACCCTGCGACGTGAGGGGTCTGGTGTTGGACTTTCTGGCCGCGCACGAAACACAAGATGATATGAAGGACTACCTAGCTCATCCGGAGTGCATTGCGCTCGACTGCATCGCGCTTGGGGTAGAGTTTGAAAAGGGTGAGCGTCGCTCAGACATCTGCTGCATCAGGTCCTCATTGCTGCACTGATTGCTAGACGAAGCCTCGGATCGCACATTGGGCAAGGCCACTGCCGTTGCTCGCAATCTGGAGAAGGAAGAAGGCGAGATCACCGATGATGAAGACGACACGTCTGACGCATCCCATGATCCTCCCGGTGTGCTTCGTTCACACCCAACAGGAAAACACTGTAACTGACATAGACCAAGTAGGCTTCCTGTACCACGTCAAGCAGAATAATGAGTTGAGACTGAACGTCCCGACTCCAGCATTTACGATGTGAGTCTTGTATCTCTATGCATGGCTGGATTAACTGTTTTCATGTGCAGAGCAACATCGGGCCCTAAGTTGCACGCAGCTCCTAATGCTGCCATGTTGTCTACGGCGTCTTCTACTGCGGACAAGCCAAGACGTAACCGAAGTGGGAAGGGTTCCCTCGAGCGTCTCAAGCAGCGCAGGCTTCAGCAACAAAAGGAACAAAAGGAGAAACGGAGGCGGATCTCTCTGCAAGAGCGCGTTGCATCTACTGGAACCACTGTCACCATGCGCTCTTTCAATATGAAGACCGACGTCAACGTGACCAAAACGGGATGGCAAGGCAGAGCCATCCCTGTACTTTCACGTGAAGACATCAAAGCACGCTGGTTAGATGGGAGTATCAAGGAAGATGTTTCCAAATTCCTACCTTTACCCTACACTGGCAATGGGTGAGCATCATGCTTCTGATCATCAGCTAGGATCTCAGCAATTTGGTAGACCTCAGTCCATAGTCAAGGTAGTGGATGTCTACAACAGGCTGTTCTTTTATCGAGGTTTCCCTGCCGCATTTCTTGATGCTGAGAAGTTTGTTCACATCCATGACACACTGATTCATGGTGCTCTTCAAGATGAGAAGGAGAGGAGGAAGGCTTTGGATGGGGTTAGAGGGCCACATCTGGCCTGCATTATAGGTCACTGGCGCCAGTCATCTCCTGTATGTTGTTTTTGTCTGGATGTTGGCTTACTTTAATCTACTTCCTCACAGACTGTAGCCTTCACAAAGTGGCACCTAGACAACAAACAGAAGGTTGATGCACTTCTCAGGGATGAGCTGTTTATATGCTTAAAGTAGGTTGTACATATCACTTTCCTCTCTCTGCTAACCTTTGTTGGTAGCAAGCTGATTGAAAGCACAGTGGAAGCTGTATTTCCTGCTGTCTATCACAGGTTTCAACAGTCTGCAAAATGGCATGCAGATAACACAGGAGCATGCCCACTCTTTGGAAGCTTCTGGAATTTCTGCCTCAATGGAATCTTCCCAAATGACACTCGTGTACATTGCATGCCACATGCAGATTCCAAAAATCCTGTTGGTATATGTGTATTGATGGTGTATGTGCACCCCAACTGTGAGTTTCAAGTATGACTCAAGATAATGACTTAATACATCACATGTACAGCCAGATTCAACTCAAAGCACAGATCATGGCTGGTAATTTGGGAGGCTGGCATTGTTGTGGAAATGCCACCCTGGACCCCAGTTATGTACCCATCCTCCCTGTTTTTGCACTTTAACATTGATGTGCATGGCAAGTATATCATTCAAGTGCTGCATGTGTATTCTCATCTTAGCTGGCATATGCAGACCTCAAGTTCATACACACTGATGGCAGTGTCCCTACTATTCACAATTGCAAGGCCATCCCAGGAGATGATTGTGGGAGGGGTTCTATGGTGTGGTTCAATATGGCCACAATGCTTCAAACATCAGAGTCTGGGCATCCTACTTTGAAACAGGCTGCAGAGGCAGGAGCTACTACCACATTGGATTATAATGTTGAGGTGGAAAGATTGTTTCCCAAAACTAGCTAACTTTCCTACCAGTACAATTATGCTGTCTTGATTACCTGTGTTATTGCTATGGTCCTAGAAGTGGTATATGCTGTTCCACATTTGCAAATGACAACATGAGGAACACAACCCTTGTGGCCAAGAGTCATAAAGTCAGATCCTACAGTGAGTATGCTCAAGTTGTCTGGATTTCTGTCCACTCATTCCTCTTTCCTTCCATACCAAGACCAGACAGAGTGTGCATGTCACAATAGCAATATGGCAAGTCCCCTCCCAACTGCACCACTAAATGTGATATGGCACTATCAGACTGCATTCAACATGTTGAGAACACAGCACACCTATGGAAGATCTTGACGAACGAAAGCCGGTCCGACACAGAGGCACACGCACTCTCGAAGTCTGTACAAACCCAATTCTTGAAGACAGCTGTGCTTGGAAACATACTTCAGGCCGGTGTTTTCGATTAGTCTAACTACAAGAACGTGCCAGGACACTCACCAGCAGCTGAGAGCAAAAATCCGGATGCGATCTTAGGACATGGCGCTCGGAATACGGCCTGTCGGGCTGCTGCGATTGCACGCGAGGGTCATGGACGCCGCGCTCGTAGTCTTCCGGAGCGTTGTACCGAGGCTTCGGCGCTGTGATGGCTGGGTATATGCACCTCTGTCCCCCTACAGCTTATATGCGGTGCTGGGCGCGCAGTATGATGAATGCTGCGGTGTCTGTTCGAGCGTATCTACGTTGGGCTAAAAGTGAGTCGACGAACGTTTTGAACGATGGACGTACCGTAGTAACGGGGTCTTGATGATCGCGCGCTCTCGAAATGGGCTTGCTTGCCCGACGCCGTGTCGTCTGCGGTGCTGGCGAGCGCGGCGCGTAGGGGCAAGAGGCGGAATCAAGATGTCGTGTCTTCGTCGATCGGCACAGACCGACTATGCATGCGCGCGCTCAAGCAGCCAATCCAAGACTCGGAGGCGACGGATGACTTGCAGACCGGGTGAGTTGGCCTCGGGGTGTGAGCCGTCGTAAGCCAGCTCGCCGGATAGCGATGCCTTGTGTCTTCGCCGAACAGCGGGGACCGGGCCCACAAAGTGCAAAGCAGCGACCGCCCCGAGAGGTGACGTAGACGCAGCGCATCTTGACTAGGGTTGGCGTGGGATAGTAGCTTGCAGGGCGACGATACACGGCGTTGACCGCCGTCAGTGGGCTTGTTGATGGCGAACGGATGGTCCGACGGATGTCAGTGCATCATGTCACCGGCGGTCTGGCCAGTGCGGGGAGACGGCGAGCAGCGACAGTCTCAAGAGGGCGAATCGTACCTGTCCTCGACGCTGGCAGGCAGTTTGCCCGGCTTTCATACAACCGTGCATGACAAGCGTAGCAAGTGGCGACGACCTCGCACAAACGAGGCGATGCATCGCCTGGGTCGTGTTGTGTGTACCGGCGTGACCTCCGTGGTGGGGCGTTTGCAAGCCATGTTCCGCGGGCTCCTTGACATAGACCTTGCAGCGCGGACAGTCTGCGTGTGAACGGACTGACGGTGGCGATGGCCCGAGACGCGGTAGACAAGCGGCGGAAGGTATGCGACTGTTGGCCCATGTAAGACGCCAAGCCTTGTACGAAGTGCAGATGAGCGTCGTTGGCCGGGCCTCATGCCGAGCCGACGTACCTCGTGAGCATGATGTTCGTGACCGGCATGTGCAAAGAACGCCCGCCACACGAGCGACCAGTTCCGGGAAAGCATAATGGGTGTCCAAGGGCCCCCCAGGAGGCACGCCGTGAAGCGGCAGATGAACTGCGAGACGCGAGGTGGAGCATAGATGGGCCAGCGAAGAGGCCGACCCTAACAAGGGTTGTCGCCGCTCACCCGAGGCGGAAGGGATGCTTCTCCCATGTGCCGGACTGTAAGCTCCTTCCGCCTGGAGCAACAGGGCGTAATCATGCATTAGCGCTGCCTCTGCAGGAACCTGCATCTAGCGGATTGTCAGCCGAGCCAGCAGCGCGGGGCCTGCGAGATGCGCAAATGCTGACGTAGCACCCAGAGGCGTCGTCCGCCTGCAGGGAAGGGTTGTGCGACTGATTCAACGAGACGTAGCTCGTAGCAGTCGCACGATTCCTGCTCCAGCACACGTTCTCTGTTAGATCAGTTCGAGTTGAAGCAATGACGTACGTACCTGGGCGCGTCCTTATAGATGCCGACGAGCAACATGAATACGGCGGTTTTCTTGAAGTCGCCGGTGCTGTCGGGGCGGTAGCGCGGGGCTGAGGTGCAGAATAGCCTTGGAATAGCCCCGGTGATAGAAGTCATGGCCAAAGGTGCACGACACAGATCTTGCATTATCGTGCATTCTATGCGTAGTCTTTCCTATCTTACATGTCTTCATTAGTCGCCCTTTTTCTCGCACCACTTTGATGTTGGATTGCATGACTTACCTTTTATTTGTCATCAGTTAGGGACGTCGTGGGACGCGCCGGCGTAGATAGCGAAGTGTTGGGCAGGTTCGACACGAGGGTCACCGATGAACTGCTTGTATGATGAGGATAGCGGAGGCGCGTGACCAGACTGGTTGAAGCCGCGATTGCTGTGTGCAGTGACCGCGCGATGGGACCTAGCCATCGGGCCGTACGGTCCAGCCTCCGTTGGCTGCGGGGGTACGCCTGCGGTTGTTGAACTACTGCCACGAGTTTCGTCACGCACAACCCTGGCCTGCCTCGTACTCGCCAGGTATCTTCATGCCTCTGTCTTCCTCTCGTCTCTCCGTACCCGCGTACGGCGCTGATGTTTACGGTCTCCCCCGGCCTGCCCCATACCCATACTCGCCTCTGATCTTCATTTCGTGTGGTCTTCGCCCCGTCCCCGATCTTTTGCTTGTATGTTTCTGTGAGTTTGGTAAATCTCGTACGTATGCGCAGAATTGGCCGTGCTGCGGCGAGGTGGGTAGGATGGAGCAGATTGCCACTTACATACAATCAATGAACAGGCATTATCCACGTACCGATGCAAGCTCACTGGCTGCAGACCTTGTCAGTGTTGAGGGCGAAGCGATGTTCGGGGATGGGCGTCTGCGTTGGTTGCATGATTGCAGTGGGTTGCTGGTCCGCTACGCCGTGCGGATTGGCTCGGTGCTTGTCGCAGCCACACGCGTAGCCACCCACGCATGTTCGTCGACTACTCATGGCGCGTCTGGTGTCGCAATAGAGGACGAGGATCGGTGGAGAGGTTAGCCGGGTACAGCAAGCGTACGACGCGACTTTGGCGGCGTACCACACGACGCGCAGCCTCGTAAGTGTGCAGTCAGACACGTGCTCTCGAGCGCTGCCGAACGGGGCACACGAGAGTGCTGGAGACAGCGAGAGCGTGCGGGTATCAACGTCGGGCGCTTGGGGTATGTCGCAGAGAAAGCCGCCGCGCCTGTCGTCCCGCGAGCAGCGTTACTTCGGACGTCTTGGAATGGGTACAGACAGGGTCCAGGTACCGAAAGGAAGTCCTGATCCTAGGATTCTCCACGTCTGGAGTCGCGGTCGTACTCATCCAATGACACCCATCCCCGCCACGTCAAGCCACGTCTCTGTGGACGCGACGGCGTCGAAGGCCCTGTCCTACGCTGGCCGTGGTATCGTCGACGAAAAGGGAATGTCCCGATGCCCGCAAGTCCGACCTTCTCCACGTCCTATGGATACAGCGCAAACGCCTTCTGGAACATCACCGCCAGCTTCCTCACCTCCCTCTCAAACGCCGCCTTGTCCGTCCACGCCAAGCAGAGGCTCGACAGCTCGCGCGGCACGCCCTCGATGTGGGTCGGGACCTGGAGACCGAACGTCCCGACACGGAACGTCTCGTACTCCGCCTTGGCAAGCTCGCCCGAGTGCACCACCATGCGCGTGTAATTGAGCGGGCAGCGCTTACCCGTCCCGTACTGGTCGCCCGTCGAGCCCGCATTGATCAGCCAGCAGTCGACGTCGTTCTTCCGCATACGCTCCGCGAGCATCTCGGCGTGGCGTCCGGGGTGCAGGACGATGAACGGCGCGAAGTAGCACGTCGAAAACGTGCAAGAACGGACGAACGGGCAAGCAGTAAATGCGGGCGAGTGGTGAACAAGTGGGCGTACTCGGTACCGCCGTAACTCACGGAGGGCGGCGTCATACGGCTGACCGCGGGTGTGGTTGCGCACGAAGCAGATGGTGGTTCGGGCGGGCAAGAAGCCGAGGGCGAGAGCGAAAGCGAACTCGGGAGAGCAAGCACGGGCGGGCGGGTGGACGATCGAGCTATTGAGAGTACCAGCAGACGGTGAGACAGAACACGCAGGCGAGCTGGCAAGGGGGCGAACCGGGAGAGCGGGCGAACCGAGTGAGCGAGCGAATCAGCGAGGGCGAGCTGGAAAGTCCAGGTGGGTAGGCGAGAGCACGCGAGAGGGCAAGTGTATGGGCGAGGCAATGCGGAGCGTCGACCGTACTGGTACTGACCGGGCAGGTTGTGCACAATGCGGATGGTGATGCAGGGTAGGTAGATTGGGGGGTGGCGGGCAAGGCCGAGGGCGAGCGGGCATGAAGGCGAGCGTGAGAGGGCAGGCGTGGGTGGGCGTCGGGTGGTTGATCGAATTAGCAAGACGACAAGGGCGGGCATGCGAGAACATGGGTGGGTGTACAAGAATGGGCGGCGAATCCAGTTGGTGTCGCAAAGGAACACGTGTTCGCGTTGGTCGTCATCACGTGACTGACGCGCATCACGTGACTGACGCGCCTCGCGTTTGTTTAATGCGCGCGCCACCTTGGCAGGCGCGGGCGTATATAAGTAGGCCGCTCCTGCATTCAATTGGCCCCACTGCGCCCCATCGTCATAGGACAGACATTCTAAACGAAGGGTGCGCTCTTCTTCTCACCTCTACTCCCACCAGCCCCCTCTCGCCCTCAGCTCGCCGCTTCCCCCTTGGGGGTGGGCAGGTGGGTCTTTCTTCACCGCAGTTGGGGCCGTTTTCAAGACGCCCCACTCACTGCGTTCGGCGCTGCGGATGGATGGGCAGACAAAGCCGGGATGCGCGAGGCGGCCTAGGTGAGCTGGGAGGTCTGGGATGGGAGCGGTGGCGAGGGGAGTGGCGGCCGGGGCAGGGGTCTGTCGGCTCCGGAGGGAGCAGTGGGGTGCGCTGGGAGCCGGGCATGGTGTGGGTCCAGAAGTGGGGGATCTTCTACAAGCAGGCGAAGCGGCGCCCGCTGGACAACTTCACTGAGGACGAGCAACTCGACTTTGACGCGACGGGCGCATTCGTGGGCGAGATCCTCGCGGCGCTCGGGGAACGCAGCACCAGAACGGTTCGCGCACTCCTGCCCGCGGCGGGCGTGCTACTCGCGTTTGCGGATCGGCTAGCGGGGGACGCGGCGGGTCTACAGCGACATCTCTTAGGCGCATGTCCCAAAGGGGTGGCTTTAGGTAGGCGAGTACGTCGCGCCGCTCTTGGCTCGGGCGCGCGAGCTCAGCAATGAGGCGTTTCTCAAAGCGTGCGCTGCGTCGTTCAAGGAGGCGTGGCGAACGACGGACGCCATTTTCGAGATCGCGTCTGAGCGGAGCGACTCCCTGGCCACGAAGGCCCTAGCGGAGGATGTCGCGTCAGTACACGTTGGCAGTTTCCCTCCGCGGCCCTGCCTGCGACGCCCGAGCGTGCATGAGCCCTACCCTGGTTGCTTGTCACGCCTGACTCACCGCGACCGCGTCTATCCCGCCCACGTCTACCCCGCCCACACGTCAACCACCATCCACCACCATGACATCCTCATTTGCAGCGGTAGCAGCACGACTAGGCGTCGGCCTCATCTACGGCGTCGCGAATATCATCCTCCCCCTTCGCCGACTCATCTGGGACCTGGCATCAACTCTGCACAACGCGTTCTCACCGCTCCTGCCTGAAGACCGCGTGGTGCCAGAAGGCCGGCCGGGCGAGGGCGGGCTCTGGCCACGGCTCATCCCTCCGAAAGACACGGACAGTTGGAGCTGCTTCTCGATGCTGAACGCCATGGCGAACCAAGGTGCATATCCCACTACACATAAACGGCAATTGCTGAGTGTCAGCGCGGTCAGGAACCCTCCCTCGAAACTGGCGCAACATCACTTCCCGCGAGCTCAACACCGAATGCCGGGAGATATTCAACCTCTCGCCGACCTCCTGTTTCTTCGCCCCGCACCACGCTGCGAACGCGATGAATCGCAACTACTGGACGGACAGGATCGACCTCAGCGCGCATAACTGCGTCGATTACGACGCGTGCAATGCGTCCCCTCCACATCCACCGATACGACGGCAGCTGACGCACGGGTTTTCAGGAGAGGACGCCTTCCACAACCCGACCAGTCGGAACCCGTGCCGCACCTCATCAAGGAGCTCCTCGAGAGCGGGACAGACCCAGGTGGCGACATCACCGCGAGCGACCTTCCGCTCATGCTCGGCAAGCGGGGCGCGCAGTCCGTGTCAGCAATGGCCAGTACAGCGAGGAGATGGTCCACAAGCCCGTCGGCGCCTCCAAGTGCGTGTCTACCCGCTTCCCACTCCGGATGCGCTGACGCCGTTCGCGTTCCAGCGGCTCGACGAGTCTGCGGCGGGCGGGAAGGACCTGTACCCCTACCTCATTGAGGAGCGCATCCGGAACCCCGGCGGCCTCATGATGACGACGTTCCAGAACACGGTGCTCAAGGTCGAGCTGGGCATCACGGAGGAGGTCGAGGACACCCTCCGGCTCGTGCGCATGGGCAGCAGTCACGAAGACGCCAAACCGAAGTGAACGGGCGATACGCTTTGCGTTGACAAGAGGCACCGGATGCGTGTAGTCACTAGTTTCGCAGATACACTGGGGACAAACTGGGTTGTGGCAGCGCCTAACATTGGCCTAACATTGGAAGACCGTGTAGATTAGTAAGCGGCGGACTAAGGCCCCCTAACACTGGACGAAAAGTGGAAATGTCACGCTCTTTGTTCGAGGCCCTCACATTGCAGACTAAACACCGCATGTCAGGTGACACGACATTGGTCGTGTTTGTCGCCATGTTAGGAGGCCGCGCAGAGGTCGATCATTGAGCATGTTAGGACAATGCTCGCGCAATGCGCGACGCCCTTCCAGAAGCCATGTGCGGGCCCAGAACAAAGCGGATATAATTTATGATGTAAGGACAATGTACGTGGGCCGAGCATTATGTATTTGCGGCACCCTAGCAGGTGCTATGTTCGGCCCACTAAAAGGCGTGATGTAAGGCGGCCAAATACGGAAAGCCCAGAATGGATGTTCGGAAGCCTGACATACTGCATGGTTCGTCACTATGTTAGGCGGCCAGAAATTCTCTGTGTCGGTCAAACGCGTTTGCGATTCGCCAAACGATTCGCCCATATTCCATAAACGATTCGCCCGTACTCGCCAAATGATTCGCCCCCTACTCGCCAAATGATTCGCCCTACTCACAAAACAATTCGCTCCACCCACAAAGACAATTCGCCTCCACTCGTGTAAATCGAAGAAGCGACTTGCGTCCATTCACGACATCATTCGCATCCATTCGCATACTGATTCATGCAGATTTGCAACACAAATGGCGGGCGTGTTTGAGTGAAATCACATCAAGGTGGTGTTCGTGCATGTCGGCGCCACCCCCATATGGGAAGATGGCGTATCTTGACTGAACTGTGAGCGCAGTCGCGAGTCAGCGCTCATGAGATGCTGACTAGGGAGCTACGTACATGACCTACCTGCGCTGGAACGGAACACAGTTCGCGCGGAACCGTTCACCCCGCCGTCAGCTTGTCTAGCGAGCGGAGCCTGCCCGAACGACTCCCTGTGCGATACCCAGAATCCTTCCTGATTCTTCAAGATGTCTGCGAGCACTACACCGCCGAGGAACGCCATGCGTTTTCTGCGCAGTGAGTCTTAGATTTCTATGAGGGATTATCAGGACGTTCGACGTTCGGCATAGCCATCATACGCGGGACGTGTGGAGCATACCTTGAGCCGTCGCGCGACGGGTCACCGCCGAGCACTTGTATGAGGTAGAGTTGGTCCATGTCCTTCTCCAGCCAGCTTCACAGGCCATGGTACACGTAGGACACGATACGGCATCCTGGATGGCCTGGAAGAGCATCATTGATACGCCCGGTTGCTCAACGTCTACGAGGTGTGGCCGGAACATGCACTAGATCGCTGCGAATCGCTCTTGATCAGTCAGCCGTTCAGCAGCTGGACGCACTGTGAGCAGACGCACAAACTCTCGTATCGACGTGCACTTACTGCGTCCACGAGGACTGTTGCCTCCGATAGTCTTATGTCGAGGTACATATCGTAGCTGACGGTGAGTCCAATGGCTTCCGACTGGTTTTCTTCAGATTTCACGCACCTGACATAGCACAGCTTCTCCTGGATCTCTCGGACAGTCTTAAAGTCACCCGCTTGTTCGACCGTGTACCTCGCATGAGCCGAACCTTGATCAGATACCGCGTTACGTCCCGGCCAGCCATATTCAGCCAACGTGTGAGATGCAGTAGAGCGAAGCCATCGTGAAATCGTCACCGGTGTCGACGACCACACCAGTAGTGAGACCTGCGTTCAAGCATCAGTGGCTGCACGGCGGCGCAAGCTAGGCATCCGACGTACCTAGCACATACAGCAAGAACCCGGCCTGAAGCCCCCTGAAACCGAAGGCTGTTCTGATCAACGCTCCGTCGCAGCTCCTGCATCGGGTTCGCGTCAACCCATCCATGTCCATCCCGTCTCCGCTTCCTCCCGCCTCCCCGTCGGCACCCTCGCTCTGCAAGGAGCCAAAGATCGATCCACCAGACATGGTCGACCAGTCGAGCCCGTCGAGCAGCTCCGCGAACACGTAGGTAGACCTCCTCGAGTGCGTGCGCAGGGGCCCGGTCATGACGCCGACCTCGATGTTCGCGCCCGGCGGCGGGAACACGTTGAACTCCGTCATTTGGACAGGCGTAAGCTCGTACTCTCCTGGCTCCCCCGTAGCATTGGCGTTTGCGCCGCTGAAGCCGTCGTCCAGGGCCTACGGTTGGACACAGTCCAGCCCTCAGAGGTCCGACAAAGGCATGCCGGACTGCATCATGTCCTGTAGCTCACACGTCGATCAGTGAAGGCCACGACGCGTCTGGTGGACGAGAAAAACACGTACCCCATCAGCTCCAAAAGGGTTGAGTTCATGAACCTATAGTCGGGGTCCATGTTCGACGGTCCAGTATCATTCGATACATCCATCGCAGTCTTCTCCCTTCAGCTCCGCAGACGAGGATCCTGAGTCTGCTGCAGATACTACGATGTTCGGAGCATCCGCGGGAGCGGATGTTGAGGCAGACGACGCGTCCACCATGGGTAGCTCGACAGTCTGCGAACTCGAGGCCCAGGGGGCGAGATGCGCTCGGCCGTGAGCGACACAGGCGCAGGCTACACTTTGCTTGGTACGAGAGGCGGGGGCATGCGTGAATCGTACGCAGGTTGCTTTCCTTTCCCAGCCCGTGGCCGTTTCTCCGTCGGCGGCAACATGACGGACGTCCAGGGAAGGACATCTTCACGTCCTGCGCGTCGTCCTCCCCGGGAAGTCGCCAGCGACAGACAAGGGACTGGGCGTCCAGGTCGGCGACGAGGCGGCCGAGAGTGGTGGAGAGCGCGGGCGGTAGGGGTGGTTGAGATGCACAAAAGGCGGTTGCGGGAGCTGGGGAGGCGGCCCGGGACGAAGAGATCCTGCTGAACGTACGGTACGTGACGCGACTTGGCCTTCTTCAGCTCCTCCTTCACTCTCGCCTTCTCAGCCTTCTCCTCTTCCTTGCGTTTCTCCTTGTCCTCCTTCTTCACCGGTTGGAACTTGTACCCAGGGAACACTGCGGATGCTCTTGTCTCTTGGTATCGGCGATGTGTTCATACTCGTGCTTGACTCATGGATTCCCGGACTTCCAGGTGAGTGCGATGTCGCGCGAATCGTCAGCTTACAGACGCAAAGCAGAGCGAGCAGTGCAGCGCGACGACGTGATGGAGCAAGGTGAGGTCCACGTGAGATTAGACAGATTGAGGTTGAGAAGGAGGACAGGTATGGACGTGTAGTTGCACGCGAACAATGAACGTTTTGAGTTGATCTGCAAGCGTGTCCCTTGAGCGTTCGCACAAATATATCGAACAAAGTGCAACTCACAACACTAGCCCAAGCAAGCGACGGCGTATCGTTCGTTTTCATCCAGCCGTTTGTCTTTGTGAAGAGTTCGTGATCCTCACGTCCGGGGTGACCTTTAACCTCCGGCTACGCACCGTTTGTGAATTGGCTACCCCGGACGCGAGGTATATCCAGTGCCTGACGGCGCAGACGTTGCGGAGGTGTAGAGCCAGTCAGAACCGGGGCAGATGCGGCGGCCACGGCCATCTGAAGTTGAGCGGAAGATGCGCACGGTCGCCACTTCGACTGTCGTTGTCCCCGTCAGCCAGCTGGTCCATATTCAAGGACTGCAGCTGCGTTCAAGCATCAGTGGTGGCAGCACGGCGACACAAGCTAGGCGTCCGACGTGCCTTACGCATACAGCAATCACGTGGCCTGAACAGCGATATGCACGCCCTGATGCCATACTCCTCGAGGACGCGGAGCTTCTCATCGAAGACGTAGGCCATTTACGCACCATACTGTGCTCCACGGCTGCGTGACTTGCAGGTCATTCCGGTTTTCTGTTGCCTCGTCGTCGATCATCATATCTTGACGACCGCCGTGCGAACTCGCTCCTGCGCCCGCAGGATCGGGCGATCGACAATCGACGGGAATTCTACGCGCAATTGCTTTCAGCTGAGGTCTACCGCTCGTGAAAAGATGGACGCACTGTGTTTGGAACCCGCATCACCGATTTTTGACGAGATGCGACCGATGACGGCCTCCCTATGAAGAATCGCCGCACGATTGACGAGGATGAGTGTTCGCAAGGTTTCCTGGCGGTAGATGATCGGGTGGAAGGAACTGTCGTTCGTCGCCTGCGGCAAGGCGCCCTCAAACGCGACTTGTCGTAGAACATCGTCTTCATGCTGTGCTGATGAGGGCGATGCTGACGCGGTGAATTAGGAAACGTAGACGACGGTGTGAGACCTTTTCAATCAAATTTCAGTGATCTGGAGTGCTTGCATCGGTGGCACCCCGACGGCGATACCGACGTTGGCACGGGAGGAGGGCGTGAGCACTATCACTGGTCTCGGAGGAGAGGCCTTGCGCAACTGTCGGCGTCGAGGATCATCCCGTCGAACGGAACGTCTTCGCCAACAGCGTCCTTGAGCACTTTGGCCGGGGATGTGGTCGTTGAGACAGAGCAACGATCAGTTTCCTTCGCGGAGAGCGAGCTGGTCGCCGATAACCACCTTGACCTTGAAGTCGAGGGCGTGCCATGGGTCGCCGAGTGCTTGCTTGGCGTCCGAACAGGGATGGTTGGTTCATCTAGGCGGACTCTGCGAATCGTAGTCGTGACCGGGCAAGCGACGCGGTGTAGAATGAAGAACATGTTGGGACCAGTTATCCGTGAGAGCACCGCACCCTCGGTCTCGCCCGTTTGCAAGCTAACCCTACGCACATTCTCAGTTAGTTACCGTGAGAGCGAACTTGTATAGGATTACACGTACAGATCGCAGCGATATCACCAATCTTCTGCTCTGGTGAGAGGTCCACCGTGAGCACAGCATGATCGAATCGAGACGTCGACGGCGGCAGTCGGCGGGGACGATGTATCAGAATCTGCGAGCAGGAGGATGATACTGACGACATACTCCCGATCCAG